ATATCTAAACAAATTAATTTCCCCAACATGAATATATCAAACCAATACAAAAGATGTATCCTATTGTCAAGAAAATATTAATCTCAAAGTTTGCAAAAATTGATTTGAAGATATTCTAATTCTAAATATCAATATATATATATATATATGAATCAATATTAGATTAAATCATTTAATATCAAGCAAGTGTCATGAAGATTTCCATTTTTTTTATTGTTCTTTTTGTCCGAAGTCATGGAGATTGCGACTGTGAAATGAAGATTGTGACTCTCTAGCTCCTGTGAATTTTAAGGAAATACCGCTTCACAAGAGAGGTGCCTCCAATCCCATTATTCTAAAATGATATAATTTCTTATATTTTCTCTCTCACTTCCAAAAACAACTTCTTCATTTATGGAAAATATATTTCAAATCTCATTAAAACACCACAATCCCTTATTTTTAGTCAATAAATCATTACTAATAGAACCTCATTATCACCTAATCACTTTGCAAAGAAGTTGGAACAAATAATGCAACACTAAGCCGCTACTGCCGCCATCCCTTGCCATCGCACCACCACCGTCCCGTGCCGTCCATCCACCAAAAACAAAAAACAAAGCTTACAGATGAGGATGACAAAAGGATCGCCCACCATATCATCACTGCAAAAAGCAAAACTTCTACAAGGGTAGAAGAGATACGTAATTTGAAAACCCTAAGAGGAAATCGTTCCAAACCCTCGGCTTTTTTTTTTTTTTAATTTTTTTATATATTCTTTGGATTTAATTTTTAATTAATACTCTTAGAGTTCATATTAAAAGTGTATTTTGTATATTTTTTATTGTTAATATACACAATAAACATAAAAATTCATGAAAAATGATTTTGAGACAACTTTTTTGTATCATTTTTTGAGACAATTTTTGTGCCACCTTTTGGGACAACCTTTTTGTATCACATTCTTAGACAACATTTTTTGTATCACCTTCTGAGACAACCTTTTTGTACCACCTTCTGAGATAACATTTTTGTATTATTTTTTGGGACAACCTTTTTGTACCACCTTTTGGGACAATCTTTTTGTACCATCTTCTGGGATAACCTTATCTGTCATTTAAATGATTGATTATTTTTATTTACGTGAGACCTGTGATATTGAATACATTTGTTCATTTAATAACATATAGAAGTAGTAAAAAAATGTGGTATAAAAGGGTTATTTCGAATAAAAACTATTCATGTGGCATGTCTATTAAAATTAATGTGAACTTTTTTATTTTTTTATGTAAATTAATACATAAAAATACATTTAAATTACTTTTAATTTTTATTTAATTTGTACTTAATTTGTATTTTTAGAGTACAAATTAAATAAATTTAGGGTGATGATATAAAAACAACCTTTTTATACCACTTTTTTATACAACTTTCATATGTTATTAAATGAGTTGATACATTCAAGATCATGAGACCCACACAAATAAAAAGAATCAATCATCTAATTGATACATCAAATTATACAAAAAAATGAGACAAAAAAATTATCACAAAATCATTTCCCATAAGCTTATATTCTTTTTATCCATGAGAAAATATTGCTACTAGGACCAATTATTTTCCATTAAGGAAAGCGTGATTTTGTTGGGGAGACTCTCGAATCAGGAATCAATTATCTGGCAGGAGCATCGAGTCAAACCAATAGAGGAAGCTATACACACATGTGCGAACATGTTCCACACACACACCTCTTTTTTGTAGACTTTTTATTTTTATTTTTTATTTTTGGGATAATTTTAAAGACAGTTCTCCTATAATTTAAGTGCTACTCGTCTATTTTAAAATAATTGTCATTTTTTAATTATTTTTAAATTAAAGTTGTAAAGATAACTTTTTTGTAGTTATCTATAATATTCTTAAAAAAGATATAAAAAACAAAAAAAAAAAGATTTTTTGTGATTAAATGATTAATTAAAGTTAAGAAATAATGATAGGGGTTAAAGTAAGAAACAAAAATATTTCTCTATTTTGAAAAATAAAAAAAAATGATAATTAATTTAAGACAAATTTAAAATGAAAAAATGACAATTATTTTGAAATAAAGTAAATATTTATTTATTTCCTGATTATAATTTTAGGTAAAGTCTAATCAGATAATTTTATATGGAGTAGTAAATAGATGACAATTGAATTTTTTTTTTTTTTATATGTAGTTGTGGTTGGGTATTTTGATTTAGATAAAAAAAATTGTTCAATTTTGTCATTCATTTACAACATAAAATCGTAAATCAATTTATATAAAGTTGAGAAATTGGGACAACTAAAAAAGATAAGAGGCAGTATTTGTTTATTTTGGTTTGGACAATTAGAGTGTTCTTAAATTAATTTTCACTTTGTTTGGACAATTAGAGTGTTTTTAGATTAATTTTCATACATATTGAAACTAATTCATCTTCAAACAATCTTAAGAACATAATTTTATATTAGTTGGTGCATTTAAAAAAAATAATTTTCTTAATTGCTAACTTTAAAATTTAAACTCTAAATTTATTAATAAATTTAACCTTTCAAGTTATAATTTGAGGAGTTTTTCTAACAAGTACCATAATGACATAGGAACAATATTAAAAAAAATAAAAATTACAAGTAGTTAAACCAAACAATCCTAAATCAGTAGTACCAACGAGAGGTTGGATCAAGTGATAAGCGGTTTGTTTCAGTTTAAATAAGATCTCGAGTTCGAGATCTTGTGTACGCTGCAGCCTTCGTTGGAAGACCCACCCATCATTTTTAGGTGCGCGACGCGGGTCGATCCGGATTAGTCGGGGTGAAACCCCAAATACCAAGCAGGAAACCAAAAAAAAAAAACCATAATGACATATGTTAAAAGTATAATAAATATATTTTTTTATCATAAATTTATATTAGAACAACAAATGTTAATTTTTAATTTATAAACTACCTAATTAAATTCATTTACATGATAATGATAATAAAATTAATGCCAATTTTTATAATTTTTTTAATATAAATTAATAACAAAAAAATACTCATAAGATATGTCCTTATATTACATGACACATATTAAAAAAAAAACCTAATTTGAGTGGTATTTAAATTGATAATTTAAAAATCTCTCCCTCGCATGTAGCCGCGGTCTAATCTAACCGACAGAGATTGAAGTTAAAGCTACCTTTTTAACAAGAGGAGATCAAGAAGTCTAAAGGGAAGGGGAAACTTACTCTCACTAGTCACCAAAGGCTTTAGAATTCTAATCTCTATACAATATATTATTACCAAATGAGTAATGGTACACCGGATAAATAACGTAGTTTGTATCATGTCAATAACTTTTTTGAATTCTGAAATTTTAAAATGGAAATTAGTGTAACGTATTGTTATTGTTTCTCTAATTCTCTCCTCCAAATCTCCCAGCTTTTCTCTCTCCCTTTCTCATCTCCCCGAACGCTCACCTTTTATAGTTCCTCCATGGCACGAACCAGCGGCGGGTTCAACCCAACATCAATGAGTCAATAGCCATCGTTTCAGATTTAAAAAATAAAAAAAAAAAGAAGAAGAAGAAGAAGAGAAGAAAAGAAAAAACCCCTAACTATTCAGTAAATTTGAACCCTAATAAATTTGAACCCTAACTTATGGAAATTTGAACCCTAACTTATGGGAATTAAACCCTAGATCTATGGTTTAATCTTTGTAGTAGGAGAGATGAAAGAGAGGAAAAATGGAAGAATTTGAAGAGAGAGAAACTAAGTGATGTGAAAAAATAAAAAATGATTTTAAGATAACTTTTTTGTATTACCTTTTGGTATAATTTGATGTGTCATTAAAATAATTGGTTCTTTTAATTTATGTGAGATCCGTAATATTGAATGCATCAATTCATTTAATGACATATAAAAATTATATCGAAAGATGATATAAAAAGGTTTTCCCTGTAACACCGTTTTAAAAAAATATAAGATTTGAAAGAGGAAAACAGAAAATGTTAGGAATAAGGAACTTGGAAGAAGATGATGATGTGGGACCTAATTTTTAATATTTCGCTGAGGTGGTATGTCAACTCAAATTCGTCTCATTGTTTCGTTGGAAAACGATTTTTGGATAATTTTTTGTATTATTTTTTTTATATAACTTGATATGTCATTTAAATGATTAATTTTTTTTATTTATGTAAAACATATAATATTAAATACATTCACTTATTTAATAACATATAAAAATTATATAAAAAAATTATCCTTATAACACCATATTAATTTCTTCACGTTGCTTCATCCATTATTCTTATCCTTACTTCATATTATAAATAAAGAAAAGAAAAGAAAAGAAAAGAAAAAAAGGCAAACGCCGGAATGGCTAACAAAGTTGGGCTAAAACCAAGATTTAGCTCTTCACTTTACAAAATTAGTAGATTTTAACCCTTAACCTTATAATATAACACTTTTAACCCTTTATCTTACCAAGTTGATAAATTTTAACCCCTCACCTTACAAAATTGGTAAGTTTTAACCCCTTACCTTATATCATGACACTTTTAACTTCTTATCTGTACGAATTAAAGAAAATAGCCCTTATTTAACATCAGGTTTTAATGTTCTATTAGTTTTGTTAGCTGACTGTCAGTTCTGTTAATTGACTGACAATTCTATTAGTTGACTATTAGTTCTGTTAGTTGATTGTTAGCATTTGTTAGCATTCCGTTAATGAAATTAACAAGTAAAATTGAATTTAAATTTCATATTTTTTATAACGAAATGTTAACAAATGTTAGCAGTCAACTAACAAAACTAATAGAATGTTATAACTTGATGTTAGGTGAGGGTTATTTTCTTTAATTCGATCGGTAATGAGGTAAAAATATCATAATATAAGGTAAATAGTTAAAACCTATCAATTTTGTAAGGTGAGAGACTAAAACGTATCAACTTTATAAGATAAATAACTTAAAACTATCATATTATAAGGTAAGGAACTAAAATCTATTAATTTTGTAAGGTGAAGGGCTAAATGTTGATTTTTGTCAACAAAGTTGCTCTATTGAAGATTACGATGCACAACGAGTGAATAAACAATGCATATTTTACCGTATATTTTAGTTCGAAGAGAATAATAAAATAAAATAATAAAATAAATTTTTTTAATTAAATTTTAATATTTAAAAATATTATTATATAATTTAATTAATTAAAAAAAATTTTATCAATTCAAACATATTATAGTATTAAAAAGAAGAACATCATTATTACTCTCTCACTTAAAATAATTGTTTATTTTTTAATTTTTTAATTAAAAATTTGTTAAACCCCATTTTGGTCCCTTAACTATGATATAAACTCTTGATTTAGTCCCTCAACTTAAAAAAATCCATGATTTAATCCTTACTATTTACTATTTTGGCTCTAATTTAGTCCTTCCATAAAATTTTTGCTAAGGTGGCCTATTAATTGACAAAACAAAAATGAAATGTCCAAATAGTTAGTACATAAAATTGACAACATGAATAAATAAATGATGTGGCTAAAAACCTTTGTCACCTAATCAAACAAA